CTTTCTTTCTTTCTTTCTTTCTTTCTTTCTTTCTTTCTTTCTTTCTTTCTTTCTTTCTTTCTTTCTGAGTGGCCACAGAAAAGGAGTTATTATTTGTGAATATTTAATATTTGCAAACTTTGGCATTTTCTAAATAACACAAAACCTTACCTTCTGCAGAAATAGTGGAGGTATTGACACTTAGGGTGAAATTTGCATCGGAGGTAGTAGCATTAATCAAAGTTTCCGTCACATCACTGGAATTTGGTGGTGCTGTCACATTGTTGACAACATTGAATATCAGCAGAGCATCTACTACAATAGATCCTTGACTGCAACAGAGAGTTTAGGCATTTTTATTTATTTATTGCAGTTGTTGCTGTTTTTCTTAAAGCTAAAAGTAAAACACAACGTATACTGTATGATAAAAAATATGGTGACAGACAATTTAAGGAAAATAGATCATTTTYTTTTCGCCTGCAAATGCCAAAAAAGCCCATCTAATGTAATCAACTTTATAAGAACAAATTGAAAGATGTGTAGTATTTATACCTGAATCCTCTGACTTCAGTTCGATTGAAACGCCCCCCAAATTTGTTTCTATAGACCATGTCAAGCTGTAAGGAATTTCAGTAAAAAAGGATTATAGCAATATTTAACTTGGATGAATGAACTTCTAGTTTTCACTTCAGTCATAGCAGTGTTTCTGTGTTTAAAGTAAATAGTTATTTTTAAACCATAGGTCAAGCTCCTACCACAAATTATTTTTGTAAAAGTATGTAAATGCATAATTAAGTTTTCTTAGCAGTGTAACTTGATTTACATCAAAAGACATACTCCTCTAAAATGCTTGTTGAAGACATTTTTAATAGAATCTTTCAAAGTTTTTTTATTTATTTATTTTTTGTTAACATCAACATTAACGGACTCTAGAGTAGAATTGCTAAAAAAACTACTAAAATAAAGAAGTGAAGATTCAACAAATAAAAGCATCAAACTTACTTGCTTGGTCACTGTTTTCTCCAGTTCTATATACTGTGGAGTTGATTTATTTTTGAGTTCAGATTGAAACGGTTGCTGCACTTTAAATCCTAGATTGACTTGAGGCGGTGGTGGCGGAGGAGGTGTTGTAGTTGTGGTCGTGGTTGTAGTTGTAGTTGTGGTTGTCGTAGTGGTAGTGGTAGTGGTAGTGGTAGTGGTTGTAGGTGTAGTTGTAGCAGTGGTTGTTGGTGGTGCTGATGTCAAAGTTGTAAGTGGAGTACTTGCAATAGCTGAAAAATAATAATAATAATAATTATTACATGCATATAATATATTGAGTATTATACATTAAGTTTTAAGTACACACTCAAGCAAACAGTTAAACAAGTATTTAAATGTATCATTTAGTTCTGCAAATTTTTTTTTAAAAGTTGTTTGTATAAAACAAAAAAGGGTAGTATTGTATTGACAATAATACAAGTTACACTACCTGGCACTGTGACGATTAATGGAGATGTCATGTTGGCCTGAGGCGATGGCATAGTAGAATGTGGTGAAGTTAAGTTAGTAAATGGTGGTGGGTTTGTGTTAACAGGTAGTGAGGTTTCATTGCCTGTGGAGACTGTTGGTGGAGATGTTATGTTGGAAGATGGGGAGGGCGTAGTAGAATGTGGTGGGGTTAAGTTAGTAAATGATGGTGGGTTTGTGTTTACAGGTAGTGAAGTTTCATTGCCTGTGGAGACTGTTGGTGGAGATGTTACGCTGGAAGGTGGAGAGGGCACAGTAGAATGTGGTGGGGTTAAGTTAGTAAATGATGCTGGATTTGTGTTGACAGGTAGTGAGGTTTCACTGCCTGTGGAAACTGTTGGTGGAGATGTTACGTTGGAAGGTGGAGAGGGCACTGTAGAATGTGGTGGGGTTAAGTTAGTAAATGACGGTGGGTTTGTGTTGACAGGTAGTGAGGTTTCATTGCCTGTGGAGACTGTTGGTGGAGATGTTACGTTGAAAGGTGGAGAGGGCACAGTAGAATGTGGTGGGGTTAAGTTAGTAAATGATGGTGGGTTTGTGTTGACAGGTAGTGATGTTTCATTGCCTGTGGAGACCGTTGGTGGAGATGTTACGTTGGAAGGTGGGGAG